AGCTCAACTAAGGAATAAGCTGAATTGGTTATAAAGCAAGGTGCGCTGACACGGCGAAATGCGGCGCAATGCCCCAGGTGGTATCTCGAGTTTCGGAATGCGTAGCAGACGCTCGTCAGCCGCCAACGCTATCTCCGAGGCGGTACCACGTGCCCGATTCCGAGTTAGGCGCTGTGCCTCAGAAGAGCGGGAAAACAACCATGTTTGCAGGCAGAGTAGGACGCGCATGCGCTTTTCTGTGATCTCGAAACCAAGCGACCCGCCGGCAGATGGCAGAGCAATGCGTTTCAGCCGCAGCTCGCACGTCCTGGGGACTTTTGTCCCCGACTGTGCATCATTTGATAAAATCTCGATGGACCAAGTTACAGAAACTGTTAAAGGGAAGGTGGGGCACTTCTACATGTGAGAAAAAACGCATGAATTGCGTTCATTTGGCCTTCAGAATAACAGATATCACAATTATATTGCAATGCGACGCGCTGGAGAGCCAGAAGAGCAATTTCAAAATAGTGCTGAAGCCCCGCCTCCCTAGCCTTGGGCAGCCAAAAGATCCGTCGATGACGTCGCGCACAATACTCGCACAGAAAATGGTTTGGGTATTCGGGTTCGCGGGGTAAAAATACACTAGAAGTCACTTCTAAATCATTTTTTTTTTCGAGAAGCTCCGTAGCTTTCCTTTAAGTGAGTGTATTTTTTATACAGCATCTCTTGCTATTCCTATAACTTCCACGCATCTCCCTCGTAGATCCATGCCGTGGTGTGGAATAAAGTGTTCTGAACCGAAAAAACAAAACAAAAACAACAACAAAAAAGCAGATCGTGTTTTTTTTTTCGACGTTACCCCCACATAGAGCTATCTCCTCACGTTTAAACAAATGAAAGCTCGTCAAGATTCATTCGCCGCCAGTATAAGCGAGAGAATTTCCAGGGGTAGGCCTCATCAATTAATAGTACTGCAACACCCACAGAATCCTGGGAAAAAGTTCATCGGATCGAGGGGCGATACCAATCTTTCGCAGTCACTCTTCTCTTCTACAGTGGGGTCTGTCCAGAGACCCTAGAGGGGCAGGCAAATCTTCGTGGTCTGCATTTTGCTCGTGTATCAAGTCCCAAAATCTCATCCTCCGCATTTCTTAGATACAAAAAGCGAGCGGAAACGCATGCTGTGAGGACTTCAGATGGTGTCAGTGAGGCTTACAAAGTTACAATCAACCCCTCACGCAGCACAAACTCAGAATGGTCCTTCGCTCAACTAAGCCTTAAGCTACTAGACCTGATGGTATACACTACCAGATGCTTACGCACCTTCATCCTTCTACACTACTCCTTATTCTGTACCTTTTCAATCATGCCTGGCAAGAAAGATTACCCACGGGCATGGAAGATACAGTCATACCCTTTTTAAGACCCGTGAAGGATGCTTCCTTTGCGCCCAGCCACCTCCCTATTGCCCTCACCAGTTGCCCTAAGTAAGACATTTGAACGCATCATTTATCAAACGTTCATGTACTTTTTAGAAAAAAAATAACTTTCTAGATAAGAGTCAATGTGGGTTCTGTTCCTGCCACTCCACAGTTGACCATTTGGTCAACCACGACTGCAATTCGTGAAGCCTTTGTTAATAAATAACACTGCTTATCCGTGTTTTTCGACTCGGAGAAGGCATTTGATGTAGCAAAGTAGATATTTGTGCCAGATGGTTCATGATCAGAATATAAAGCGCCAAAAAAAAAAAAAACAAAAAAAACAACAAGACAAGACAAAGAGGAGAGTAAACAGGACGAGGCGCACTCGCAACTAAAGTTTATTTACGAAAAAACACATAATATATAGGCCGGTAAAAATGCCTATTCATCACATCAATCGATAAGACCCCTTGATAAAATCACTCTTTCCCTGAGAGGGCAAGGGAAGGTTCACTGACGCCTTCGTCTCCCTTTGCCCTAATCTCAAACGCCTCGTGCACTTCTCGGCATATTTTATTTTTATATTTCGCCAGAACCTTCACATCATGCAGAACTGGTGAGCACGGGCGCCGACTACGATGAACAGCTACATTACCAGACAGGCTTGGTCAAACGGCACGCTTGTGCCGCAGAGTCAATAATCTCCAGCCAGGTATGGAGTATTGCAGCACAAAACACCGTACCAAATATGCTGAGTGTGCCGTCAGCATACTTGGTCCGGTGTTTTGTGCTGCAATACTCCATATCTGGCTGGGGATTATTGACTCTGCGGCACAAGCGTGCCCCAAAAATGGCCTGACGAGATTGTGGCATGTACGACCGTAGAACAATTTGTTGATGCATGTTCATCGCATCTCTAACGCGCTCGCATGGTTTTTTGTTATATTTCAGTAATGTTGTATTCATGATTATAAGATATAACTTGTCACTGGCGTTCTTACCTTATTTTTTATGTGCTCTATTGCGCTTATTGCAAGACGCTATCAGTGGCCTCATTGTTGTGTTATCTATACACCCTTAAAACTTGTATATATTTTTTTTCTTCTTTCTTTTTTAGTGACCTTCGGTGTACCACATTTGTTGGTTTACTCTGTTATGTTTTTTCTTTCTCGTTGTCCCACCCTGCTTGGGCCTGAAATGGTCTGCAGTATGAATAAATAAATAAATAAAAATGTAGACGATATCCAGATGGCGGTCTCATCATGCAATGTTTCCATTTGTGAACGTAGACTTCAGCCCCATTGAAAAATCTCATTTGTATGATAAATTTCTGTGTCCAATAAACACATATGAATCATACAAGATATATAAGAACATATGAGAATAAGATATATAAGAACATATGAGAATAAGATATATAAGAACATATGAGAACAAGATATATAAGAACATATAAGAACTACACAAGAAATTTGTGAGAAGTTTCTTATATGGTTCTTATATGTTCTTATATATCTTATATAGCTCTTATATAGATCTTCTATGGTTCTTATATAGTTTTTATGTTTTACATATCTTGTATGAATCATATGTGTTTATTGGACACAAGAAATTTCTCATACAAATGGCTTTTTCACTAGGGAAGTTGCAATCCACAACCTCCTGAAGTGGGCGGGTGAAAATGGTTTTAGGTTTTCTTCCGAAAAGACAATGTTCGTCTGCTACTCTCAGAGAAGGGGAATCTTCATAGAGCCCACCTTCGAATGCACCAGACTCCCATCCCTACAAAAAACAAACAAAGAAAAAAACATAAGTTTTTAGGCCTTATTTTCGACCGTCAACTGTCCTTCACATCTCACATAAAGGACCTGAAGATAAAATGCCTAAAAATCACTGAACCTCCTTAAAGTTCGGTCCCACAAGACATGGGGCTCTGATCATGTATGTCTTTTACAAATGTATCGCTCTGCGATTCGCTCACATCTGGACTACGGTAGCTTTGTACATGGATCTGCTATGCAATCAGCTCTTAAGGCACTGGACCCCATCCATCATCAGGGACTTCGTTTAGCAGTGGGAGCCTTCAAAATGTCACTTGTGCTTAGTCTCTATGCTGAGGGAAATGAGATGTCCCTTGACAAACGGTGATTCTCCCGGGGATTTGTGTATTCATTAGGGATACGATCAGTCCGCTGTTGCCAACCTCCGCAGTCATTTCTTCCCCACCTTTTAAAAGAAAATTCCCTAGATATTCCTAGACTTTCAAAAAAAGTTTCAATATGCGTCAACATTGGGATTATCGTTATGGAGCAGTTTGAGAATAGATTCATGTGGTTGGGTGGCCATTTAAAGGTTAAGTTTGCTTCGTTAATACCTTTTTTTACATAATTAGGATTTGTTACTTCCTTGTGTGGCCCCCAAAAATCGCTCTAGTTACCGCTCGTGATTATCTCCGGCCCCGACAATACACAAAGAAGCCTTTTTCCCCGCTGCACTCGGCTTGCACGAGGAGGAAAAAGGGAAGGAACGTGTGTCTAAAGCCCTCTGAAACCCATTAAAAATCAATCCCTAGATTTGAGCAAATTTCTCTTTGCCCCTAAACGATGACAGAAATCCCTAGATTTAGGGGAAAATACCTAAGGTTGGCAGCACTGGATCAGTCGCTCAGCATCCAGCCCAGGAAAACTGTGGAGGGCACTGAATATCGGAGGACATTCGAAACCAAGCCTAGCATTATCCCTCCATTTGCGATGAGAAACAGGAATTCGGCAAAGTTTCGTTGGGATAGACAGTAAGGCTACAGTTGCAAAGACGGTGGCGCCATGGGATTTCATTGCATGCGCTGTGAATTTTTGCTAACGAAGATTGATAAGAAGGATACCCCAAACTGAGGTCATACGACAAGAATTTTTCGAACTTCACAAGGAATGTAATTCTCATTCTCACAACTACACAGACGCCACAAAAATTGAATCATTTGTTGGATGTGCCATGAGTCGGCCCTTCAGTAAGAAGTGTTCGTAGGTAAACTTTGTCCGCTACTGTTTTCACTGCTGAACTGCACGGTCTTCTGCTTGCGGTAGACCATACCATTCAAACAAGTTGGACTCCCATTCAGTAATACACTCAAAAAAAAAGGGCGTCACCTTACACCCTTTTGTCCCGCATAATGCACCCCAAAACATCAGTTCGACATACAGCGCACTGTAGTCGAACAGACGGCCCCATATTTTAAGAGGGGCTTCATAACAGTGCGATATAACTTATGAAATAGCTAAAATACGTATCGAATACCACAGAAAGAAAACACAAAAAGTTTGCAGAAAAGCAAAAAAAAAAAAAAAACAATATATATATATATATTTTTTTTAGTTAGTAACGTGTACAATAGCTATTTTAATAAGTTGTACCACACGGCTATCAAGCCCCTCGTGAAAGTTGGTAGCGTCAGATCAACGTCAGCGGGCTGTACGTCAAACTGAAGTTTTGGGGTGCCTCATTAGGGACAAAGGATGTAAGAACACACCCTTTTTCTTAGAGTGTGGGCGCTCGATCGGGCGCCATGAGTGAGCGTCCCGCCCGGCCTTGTTGCAGGTGATCGTGGAGCGGGCGCCCAACTCTCACGTGCCGTCCATCGACAAGCAGAAGTTCCTAGTGCCCAGCGACATCACGGTGGCCCAGTTCATGTGGATCGTGCGCAAGCGGATCCACCTGTCTCCCGAGAAGGCGCTCTTCGTGTTCGTCGGCCGCCTCATGCCCCAGTCCAGGCAAGCCCACTTCGTTGAGGTGCCTCGATGGGGGAGGGGAGCGCGAGGTCCTGCCCAATCGCTGGCTTTACACAAAGCACGCTGTTAACGCCACACAGGAGCGTCTGCTTACGTTACGTTCCCACCGAGCACAAGACGTCTCGTAGCCGGCTTGAAACGGCTCGACTAAGCTATAGACTTTTACAAGACATCTCAAGATATATTGACGTAGACGTCTACAAGACATCTCAAAGAGACGACTCGCGTCTTGGGTGTCTTGTGGCTGTCTCTAAGATGTCTAGGAGACGCCTTGCAAGACGTCTTGTAGCCCAAACAAGAGGGAGCGCTATGAAGTCTACAGGGCGGCTACAAGATGACTCAAGACGTTTTAGGCTATGACGTCTTGCCAAGACATATACAAGACCTCTTGCTCGTCTTGCCAAGACGTCTTTAGACGTCTAATGGACGACTTCGTGTTCAGTGGGGTTAGGAGTCAAGGCCCGTTCCCACAGCGCAGGCGTAAAGACTGGTCACACAGCCCCCGTTTTCTTCCGTTACGTTGGGAAAGCTCACGTCTGCTTACACCACATCTGTGCTTCCTATGCGGAGTTCAAGCTGGTCTGCTTCTTTTGCAGGGGTTGGGGTGACGTCAGAACGCCGAGCTCTGATTGGTTCTGACTGAAGGATAGTGGGTAGACCTCAAGGCAGATGGCTTTCAGGTCTACCCGCTATCCTTCAATCAGAGACCAATCAGAGCTCGGTGTGTTTCTGACGTCACCGCAACTCCTGCAAAAGAAGCAAACGACTTGCTCTCCGCATTAAGTGTGGCTACCAGATCAAGGCCTTGCACGCGAGCGACATTCGAGACACGAAGGTGATTTATACGCAAGACAACGGTCCTATGGGAACCAGCCTTTACGACGGGAGCTCTTTTTACATCGAGATCGACGGCGAGTTTTGCGTGGCGGGTCGTCAGTCGTCAGGTAGCCTAAGGAGGTTTGCTCGGCTCAAGTTTTCCTTGTAAACTTTTAAGAAAGCTTGGGACGTGAGGAAGCTTAGCGCCCACCGGGCATGCGTACAGCGCACCGAGACCAGCTATGCTCTCCAAGCGTCGAGCGAGTCTGGAAACCCTGGTTTTTGGCGCCTCCAACCAAGCGCTGAAACCCGACGAACGTTTCTCGAGAACGGAAAATAAATCAAACCCACTCACGGCAGAGACGTCGTCACCAAGAAAGCAGCAACGTTGCGGGAGAAGCTTGTGATATACCGGCTGTCCCAAATAGCGGCCAGGCTGTTTAAATTGACAGCAAAATTCGATCTGTTAATTTATCGTGCTGCGATTTTGTGCAGCGTTACCCACAGGTTGTGCATTTCTTTCTATAATATTTAGAAAGAGCGAACTTACCTGAGGAAAAAGGAAGAAAAGACAAAGGCTTAACTCCTACGGAAACGCAGCGAAGCTGCAGTCTTCAAACCGTAGGGCGCCCTGTGGTTTGGAGACCGGTGGCTTCGCTGCGTTTCCGTAGGAGCTAAGCCTTTTTTCTTTGTTTACATTTTCCTTAGGTAAGTTGACTCCTTGAAAATTTTACAGAAAAAATGCACCACCTGTGGTCAATGGTGTACAAAATCGTAGCGCGATAGATTAAGAAACCAAATTTTGCGCTCGATTTTAGGAGCCTGGCCGCTATTTGGACGTATGGACTGACACCAACGAGTTTTCGCGAAAACGAGGGTTCTAATGCTGACGCATTAAAAACCGACCGGGGAGGATGTTGTTCCATGACGCTGTCAACTCGCCGGGCCCGCCGGCGCCCCGGTCCTCGGCCTTCAGGTGCCGCTGCTCCGTGGCTGCTCCCCTCTCCCAAAATTGGTAACTTCGTAACGGTTGTGTCATTTTCGAACTTTATGTCTATAGAAATTCGAAACTTCCGAATGTTTTGAACTTCAGATCTAAAAAGAATATCGAAATCTTAGAATTTTTCGAACTTCAGACTCAAAGAAATTCTAGATCTTCGAATTTTTTGAACTTCAGATCCCCAGATATTCAAAATGTTCGAATCTTTCGAATTTCAATTTAGGAAAGTTCGAAATCTTCGAATTTCTCAAACCTCAAGTAAAACAAAACGAAACAAAAATCGAAATATTCGAACCCGAACTTTTAGAAACCGTGAAAGCTTCAACCTCTTCGAATTTCGAAACTCTACGGTGTTCGAAAATTGCGAACTTTTCGATTTCGAACCTCAGTACGGTTCGAAAATATTGAAATCTTTCAATTTCCAACCTCAGTTCGGTTCGAAAATATTGAAACCTTTTCAATTCGAACCTAGGGTGGTTCGCGTCATCCCTAGTTGTGTCGCTGGGCGCTCTGCGTGGTCGCGTGGTTTCCAATACCCGAGGATCGCGCGAGTGACGGTTCTGGTTTTTGGCGTTCTGCGCACCTTTTAAACTCGCTGGATATTTTTGGTGCAAGCGTTCACAAACTTTGTTAAGGGATGAATTTGACGTGGCCATGTCCAAAGGGTGCACGAGAAGTGAAAATGCCAAGACGTAAACGCTTTTTTTCTCCCTACAAACGACAGGTGAGTTTGAACTTACTCTGTATTCAGTTCCATATTGAACATCTCTTTTGTATGAGAAATGTATGTGTCTGATGAACACATATGTATCATACAAGATATATATAGGACTATATAAGAACTATATAAGATATATAAGAATATACAGGAACCACATGAGACACTTGCGAGAAGTTTTTCGTCTTGTGTGTTCTCTCTTTGTCCGTGTGTTATTCGCGCTGTTTTTCAAAATGTTTTTGTTTCTTATATGGTTCCAATATATGTTCTTATCTATCTTATATAGTTAATATACAGTTCTTATCTGGTTATTATATGCTGTTATATATATTGCATGATTCATACGTGTTTATTGGACACAAAACATATCTCATACAAATGAATTTTTCACTAGGGTTCTATTTGCTCAGCGAATTTACCTTTAAAATTTAGCTGCCCATAGCTCTTACAGTCTGCGGGTTGACCGTACTATAGATGCAGGCTAGTTTTTGATCTCGCAGTAAAAACAAATGCTTTATAGTATCCTCCACGAAATAGGCCGCCGAACTACTACGGTTTTAATGAAGTTAATGGTACGCTTATGCACGTTTCACATGCAGCTAAAAAAATGGTCTATTCTTACACCCTTTGTCCCATATAATACACCCCAACACTTCAGTTGGACGTACAGCGTACTGACGTCGATCTGACGCAACTAACTTTCACGACAGGCTTGATAGACGTGTGGCAAAACTTGTTAGAATAGTTAATGTACGTGTTACTGACAAAAAAAAAAATAATCGAGGGTCTTTTGGCCCTACTTCAAAACCTCAGTGTTTCCTTTCTGTGGTCTTTGATACGAACTTTATCTATTTAACAAGTTATATCGCACCGCTATCAAACCCCTCGTAAAATTTGGGGGCGTCGGTTTGACTATTGTGCGCTGTACGTCGAACGGAAGATTTGGGGTTCATTATGTAGGACAAAAATGTGTAAGGCGACACCCTTTTCTTAGAGTGTATTCTTAGAAATGGCCTGGGGCGGTCCTCAAACAGACAGCGGATAATTAAAAAAAAAAAAAAAAAAAAACACAACTCGGCTCCTTATATTTTAACTTGAAGTTTCATTTATACCTCATCCCGGATCCGACGGCATTCTTCGCCATTACTTTGCTCTGTGTCCTGACGATTGCAATACGTTTTAAAATTGTAAATGTAATTACTTCATTGTCATTACAGATGCGGGGACATGGAGCGAGCAATTTGGACGTTTTTTAATGGAGGAAGGAAGCTTACAACACATGGTGGTTCCCAACCAGTTCTACAGCCTGTTGATTGCCAATATTTTCTAAAGCTTGTAGATGATAGCATTTAAATAAGGATAACATTTTAACCGAGGTCATTCCATCACCTTTTTCATCTTGCTTAAGTGAGAGAAGCTTTGAATGTGTGAAAATGAAGCTATAATGGTTGCTGGAGGTTACCTGAAGCGGCTTATTTCTTAAATAAGTGGACATCCTGGAGCTTAATCCTGGAGTGGGGAAACAGGATAGGACACACGTGTAGTCCTGTCCTTCTGTTTCCCCTCTCCCCATGGGATTTTTAAGAAAATTAGTTCTTGACCAACGTGAATGCGCCCTTGCCTTACCTCCATGAATAAATTATTTACTTTCAGTGAACAACTGATCCTAAACTTTTAACCTTTCCAGTCTGGTAAAAAAGGAAGACCAGCGGAGCTGTGCTATGGTGGGAATGAAGTAATGGCCGGCCGCAAGTCGGCAAGCCATAGTGGAAAGGCTGAAAAGGTTGGCGCCATCTATGAGCGACGGCGGCAAGCAAACAACCGGCAAACACAACACTTTGGAGAGCTACCGCCATCTATGAGCGACGCGGCAAGCAGACAATCGGCAAACTGAACTGCCTGGACAGCTACCGCCATCTATGAGCGACGGCGGCAACCAGAGTTGTTTCGACATTTGTTTGGTACCGGACACAATCCCGGGGAAACTAGCCCTTAACAGCTCCGCTCTAATATGTTAGTGGTAATTGTAATACTTTGTAATGTTTATTTTGGTTTAGGAGAGCTCATTCCCATGAAACGTCGGCCGCGCCGCATGTAATGGTGAAGTAGGGATAGAGTGTATAGATGACAAAAAGATGCTGACGATGTTTACGTGGAGCTTGTGGGCAAGGATAATGAACTATTTTTGCCTGTGTTTGGTTTTTACGCGAAAACATGTGCAGTGTTGTACTTAATTCATTTGTGCACGGCTATAATGTGGAATAAATACGCGTCGAAGTATTTCAGTCGCAGTTCTCCACTCCTCACTGGACGACTGGACGTCTCGAAAGAGAAGTACAACGAACACACACGACTGCTCACCTTATACAGCAGCTGAACACGAAATCGCACAACATATACATCCTACATTGTTATAGTACCAGGCGCGATGTTTGATTCTTTATGACTCGGTATAAAAACTGCTGCAAAGTTGTCTACTACAAGTCAAACGTGGTGTAAAAATGCGGTCTTGAAAAGCCAGTCATGTATACTATTAATAGCGTGATTGGTCTTTCATTTAGTTATATAAAATAAATTGTTGACTTGTTCGAGTGCCCCCCCACCACCACCACCGCCACCACGGACGAGTAATTATGCGCTGCTGTGCAAGAGTCCCATTGGCGTATGGGGAATGTCCGAGGTTGGGTCAGGCAGCTGCAGCGTCTTCTGTGGCTTCAGCCAATGTTGGCTTCAGCAACCTTTGTCGAGGCTTTCTGAAACGTAAGGTTGATGTGACTGGTTCTATAACCAGCCTGTGCAACTTCCCTCAGCTACCCCATTCAGCCATCCCATTCCGATGCCAGGGCCTCTGACCCTGGCATCGGAAAGTAACAAAATTTAATTATGTAAGAAAGGTATTAACGAAGAAACTTTAACCTCTAAATGTCCACCCAACTACAGGAATCTCTACTCCATAACGATAATCTCAGTATTAATGCAAATTAACACTTTTTCTGGATATCTAGGGAACCATCAGATAAAAATCAAGGAACAAACAACCGCGGATGTTGGCAACACTGGTGAGCGGTTCTTAGGGTTTGCCAGACTCTTACGCTACTCATTACAAGGTATCTGATTACCCGTAATCGAATATTTTTAGACTAATGTTGTAATCATTTGATAATCTCTATTAGGAAGTAATCTCAAGAACACTGTGATTGCTTTTCGAAGCACTGAAATTCCTTCTCCAAACGTAACTGTTTTCCCCTCCCCTTTCTAATGGCGCCCTTCGTTTCGACTACTACCAAGAGATCCTCGGATCAAGTCCCCAGGAGGGCGATGCTTTACCAAAATTGGTGACTTAAAAGAGAAGTAGCGTACAATTCGGCTATTTTAGTGCAATAATAATGGGCAGTTCGAAAGACCGATTTTGAAACCAGCAGAAAATCTTTTGTTTTCTGATTCTTTCGAAATCTGAAGTAATCGAAAACGTAACGGTTTTTTCAAATGACTGCCAATTACTCTTCTTCTCAAGTTATTTAACTGAATGCTCTTTAAATGAAAGTAATTTTAATCGAGTACCTTTTTCCGAGTAACCTGTGGATTCTGCCCTTGGTATCCCTTGGGCGCCGCCGGCCACTGTTTGCCCTGCCCAATGGCGGCTGTTTCAGGGGGGGGGGGGGGGGGGGGGCAAAACACATGCCTGCCCCCCCCCCCCCCCCTTCCACCCTGAGAACTGGGGGAGGCAAGCGCACCCTTGTCCCCCCAAATGGTACGCCCAGTAGTTTCCATGGCTTATATTTTACTCTAAGCTCTCTTTCAGCCAACATACCAAAACATTACATTAAAATGCCTCAAATTCTTCCTGCGCAGTCTCAGCATGGGTGACCTGTACGGAACGTACCGGGACGAGGACGGGTTCCTGTACCTGGCCTACAGCGGAGAGAACACGTTCGGACGACCGTCCACCTTCCATCGGATGGCGTCGTCGCGTTGAGTGCCCAATAAATCTTGCCTGTTATCTCGGACTAAGGCCGCCACTCCGCCGCGCCGCAGCGCAATGTTGTAGGCGTGACCAAAAAAAGTGAGCAAGAGAAAAGTCTCGAACATCGTACATCGTGCAGATGACTGTCTCCAGACGCTGTGTCAAGGAAGTCGTACAAAATCTCTTCGAAGCCACGTTTAGTTCTGCCATGTCTGCTCACCGTGTCTCTTGCAGGACTCGGTGGAGAAGGTGCACTCAGTCACCACGAAAAATAATCTCTGTTTTTATGACTTCATCTTACATTAAGGAATTTCCGAGTTGGAAGTTGTTTTCTGAGAAACTTGTTTTTGGCCATTATTCGCTTTATACGTGTACGAGGTTTACCGGCAGATATGCTAAGATCAGTGTATAGTGCATGGGCCAAATGGTGCGCTTTTGGTTTGGCGACAATTTCGTGCGACCAGGTCGAGCTAAATAAACATTTTAGGCGTATGGAGTCACACTCTGAAGCCTTCGATTTACTTTGTGAGCACACAGAGAGAAAGTCGCGGGGCAGTTGGAACACAGTTTGGTCATTTGGAAAGTCGCACTCCATTGAACCAGTGCTGCCCATCTTAGGGATGTTTCCCTAGATCTAGAGATGTCCATAATCGTTTAAGGGCAAAGGGAAATTTATTCAAATCTAAGGATTGTCTTTTTAATGGGTTTCAGAGGGCTTTAGCGCGCACTGAAACCCCTCTGTATATTTCAGGGACAGAGATAACAAGAGCGATTTTGCGAGGCCATGCAAGGCCAAAGACACAAAGTTTGATTATGTAAAATGTTTTAATGAAGCAAATTTATAGCTTTACATGGCCGCCCAACTACAGGAATCTATTCTTAAACCACTATATAACGATAATCTCTATTGACGCAAATTAACAGTTTTGTGGGGATGTAGGGGAATCTAGGGAATTTTAAGATAAAAATCGGGGAACAGACGGACGCGAAGGTTGGCAACACTGGGATGAACATATAAACGGAAAATACAAACTGAATTGATCGTTCTGCGAAGCAAGTATTCAACAACTCGGGACACTCGGGGAAAACAAATCCCCAGACATTCGACCAAAAAAATTTATCTTTTTCATTTCATAGTTACAGTAGATTTAAATTCAGTTAATATTTAACTAGTTGAAGGTTTCAAGACACTATAGGAGTTTTATTTTCTCACAATATGTCCTTGGATGAGCATATTGACTACTTAGCTGAATAATTATCAAAAACAGTAGGACTGATATACCGGCATCAATCTAGAGATAGGGCACCTAATACAGACCATATGCAAAATTGTTCGAACGTCTGGCAACACTCTTTGCTCCGCCATCTTTTGTTAGGTCGAGATTCCTCTGCTGTTTGTCAATTTTGTAGCGTTGTCGGTTACAATTAGGGGTGTCTCGAACCGGTCGAGGTTCGAGTTCGACAAGGTTCGACTCACGTTCGACTGCTATGAGCATGCGCGACAGGCTGGCCTGTCGGCTTCCATGGGATCGGATGGTCATGGCTAAGGGATGAATTAAGGGCAGTACTTACTGGTTATTTCAGTTAACACAGTACATAAATTAAGTTAACTTCCTCAGTGATCAGAATTAGCTTCTTTTAATTGCAGCTGTTCATAAAATTAAAAAAAAAAAAAACCTTTGCATAAAAAATTCTCCAAACCTAGACATGCTTCTAAAAGGGTCTAGCCACACTGTCCACAAAGTCGAACCGGTCGAATCTAGTTAACAGTTCGAAGGTTTGTCGAACCGGTTCGAGCCAGTCGAACCCCGTAAGTTTGACCTAAAAATCCGGCTCGACAAAAGTTCGCGACACCCCTAGTTACAATCGTGGCTTACCGCTGATCTCCATTGTAGGGGGCTCAGTGGCGCGTAGCCGCTCTCTTAGCAAAGCGGAAGTGACGCCACCGGAAGTCGGGCGTCTGCTGGGTAATGCTTCTCCTGGAAGTCGATGTTTTTGGTGCGCACATTAACGGTGTCTTTGAGTGGGTTTTAATACTCATGCTCCAAATTTAAACCCCTAAAATGAGGCATTTGAGCTTGGGACATACGCACACTTGATCAACTATAGAATTTCAAAATATTTACAGTGAATGGCTTCCGATGATACTTATCGGGTCTGCATGCGCTCTTAGTGCGCAACAAGCAGGTTCTCTTGGGTGACAAGCGAAAATTCAGAGCCCTCGACGCTTTTTTTCTAACCAAGCACTCGGAAAGGGTTACAAAGCCTGCCAAGCGCTCATTTCCGGAAAGAGCCACTTACCTAGGGTGGCTTGATATCCTGTTTGCTGAATGCGCCATCCTGCCTCCCATAATAGAGATCAGTGAGTCCTACTGCCAGTGCTGCCAACCACAGGAACTTTTCCATAGATCTAGGGATTTTCGTAATCAGTTGGGGGCAAAGGAAATTTGTTAAAATCAAGGGGGATTTGCGCATTGTTCGTATACGCAACGCGAATAGGGTGACCACCCGTCCCACGACTCGCGGGACTGTCCCGCATCGAGGACTCGTGTCCCGTGTCCCGCGTCCCGCAAGAAATATCAAAATCTTCAAAACGTCCCGCATTTCACACTGTCGTAAAACTCACTACGCAGCGTATGGCGCTGCCGAAGAACGGGCACAGGGAAGCGCGGAGATCGCTGGTGAACGTGTGAATCGCGATGGTACACCATTTTCTATCCGAGAATTGTGGGAAGTAACCGTCGTTCTTGCAGGAGATCGGTCGCGCACGCGCCGTTGTGCCTCTCTTCCCTTGGTGGCAAAACATTGCAAAGGACAATTGCTCGCCAAAAGTTGAAAATAAATTATTTTAGTTATTTTCAAATCATGCTGCATGAATGCGAAAAGGTTGCTGTGGAATTTTTTTTATTATTTTATTTTAGTAAAGACGATCACACAAGGCAAGAGGACTGCAACTCACAACGATCAAAAACAACAACGTAAGATTCGAAATTTGTGTTGGAGTATGTTGGTAAAGATACGAATCTACAGAAAAGGAGAAGCCGTTAAAGATTTACTGCTTCTTGTATCGTTTTGATGCATTGAGTTCTGTTTTTATCATCAGAAATTATCAATAAAAAAAGACGTCACTTGAAAGGGAATTTTTCTCGCTAACACGACTTTATATTGGAAGTTACGCAATGTAAGGCCGAAGGCATTCTCCGTGATCGGTACAGAAGCATTTGCTTAGCATTCGGTCGTGGATGATAAAAACAACAAAAACAAAGGTGGATTAGAAACTCCATAGATTCGCCTCTGCACGGAGTACTTACACTTAAAAATCATTTCAACATAAAGCGACTACGGCCCACCTTGCTAGCAGCAATCTTAAAATTTCTCCGTGTAGTCGTCACCCACCAGCTGAAAGCGTTGCTGCAAGTCCTTCTGCCGTCAACTTTGAGTCGCTGTTGAGCCTCAAGAACTGCTCTATCAGGCCCATATCCAGCCACTGTGCGCACACACGAGCACAGAAAATGACGCTCGGTTCCAAATACAAACGAAGAACCCGGGGCGGAAAGCCCTGAATACCAAACGAGCAGCGTCGGGTGACGGCGACTGAGTACGTAGTACACAGGTTGCGCCGTTTCGCTCCTTCGATGCCTGCATCGCTGCGGTGGCTGGCCGTAGCTAATCGTAGCAGATCGTGTCACCTCTGTTCCTCCTACCGGAGGTCTAGAACCGCGTAATATTCTTGCTGCCGAAGTTCATAAACCTACGGTCGCGCCCAACACACTTTACACAAACCCAACGCCCAGCAAGCCTATCCCCCTCTTTCTCTTTCGGCGACCGGTGTTGCGATAGGCCCCCGGAGACGGGTGAACGCCCTAAAGCATCATCGCCAGGTGGCTACAGTCAGCTGCGCCCGGAGACAGAGCGAGAGGCGCCCTGGAGTCGCCAACGCACCTTGGTTTGCGGGGACGACGTGACCTTCTCCGAGGGATCATCGGGTGGACCCACGCCAGCGTCATCTAGCCGACTTTGCCGTCCGGTCCAGCTCCTTAATTGCTTCTTCTGTCTGACCTCGAGGCACGGCGACCCGACAGCCTTGGAACGTCCTCGACGAAGGAGGGGGCTTTACTCAATCTTCCCCAGCTTACATCGCCCATGGGATTATCCCCTACCACGCGGAAGCCAGGACGCCTGCAGTTATGGATGTCTTCCGCCTTCCTCGACTTCGATGGCACCATTGTCCGCCGACATTGACCGGCGACACAGCGGCCAAGGATGTCTGGCCCTTCTGTGTGTGTCTCGCGTGTGGCAGTGCGAGGGAGAGGGAAATGGCGTGCCTGGACGTTACGAACAAAGGAACCCTGGGGATTCCCTACTGGGGATGTGGGGAAACGCGATGTTATAAAAGTAGCAGCCAGCGGCTGCTACTGTGTGTTCTCTTGCATTCTCGACAGTGTACTCAGGTGTTCTTGAGATGCTGTAACCTGTTAATATGTATATATAAAGAGTTATATTACTTAAGAGACACCCCTCCTGCTCCCTGGTCCTCCGCGATTCCGGCCTCCACATGAGTTCCTGCCCTGACTCGGCTCCCTGCCGTAACCCAGATTCCCCCGACCAACCTCGCTGTCCCAACACCGGCCGCCAGGGCCGTGACACCGTCGCTGAAACTTCCCAATAGTCGAGCGACACAACTTATTAATATAGCTAATGTACGCGTTAAAGGCTACAGTAAGACAGCCAAGGTTTTTATTTTTTTTGACCCTGCTGGCAAAATCTGTTGTTTTTTTAGACTTTGATAGGCACATTAGCTATTTAATACGTTATATACAACAGCTATCAAGCCGCTCGTCAAAGTTGGTATCACCAGCTCGACGTCAGTCGACTTAACGTCCAAATGTAGTTTTGAAAGACGCAAGATCCAAGAAAGAAGAAAAACTTTTAAAAACACTAGAAACACAGACTGCACAGTCCTTTCAATGTAAGAACTACGCTGTCTGTTTTTTGTCCCTAAGTGTTTTTATTCTCTTTGATTCTTGTATTTCCACCAACCCA